AAGCACAATCTTAGAGAAAATGATGAGTTTGTCAAGTATTTTCTAAAAGTGAAGTACAATGATATTATGCTCACCCTCCCATCAACAATTTTATAATTGTACTTTTAATTTTAATAAATATAAACACAAAACAATTATTCTGTTCACTTGTTGAAGTTACAACCTTACGATGACGAAGGCTATTAAAAAGACTAGAAGTACTAAGAAAAAGGTATTATCAAGTTCCATGAAAAGAGCTCTGAAATCGGCCTATTACACGTTAGGTAGACCCGGCTCGTTTTCGAGTCCAATTCGTCTGTGGAGACAAGTTAGGTCATTGGGTATCACTCAAGCTCAAGTCAAGAGCTGGATTAACAATCAAGAGTCTTATGCATTGTTCAGAAAACCTAAGAAAATTAAGAATCGTCGCAAAATTATCGTTTCATCCATGTATCAAATGTACGATATGGATCTAGCTGATTTGAAAACATATTCAAAGTATAATTCAAAGATAAGCTATTTGTTAGTGATTGTTAGCGCGCTTTCCCGTTACATGTGGGTGCATCCCTTAACATCGAAAAGAGGTGGAGAGGTTGTCAAGGCACTTGGAGCGTTAAAAAAGGATATGCCTACTCCGCTACAGATAAGAAGTGATCAGGTATGATAGTTCACTGTTGGTGTACATATAGATCTGGCGAGAGAAAATAGAATTACTATATCAAAGCAACTCATCTTGCAATTGTATTAAATATTCTACAATATTCTAACCTAGATGATGATTCTGTTTCAGGGTGGAGAATTTGTGAATAAATCTGTCAAGGATTACTTGAAACGTGAAAAAATTGATCATATCTTAGCGTTTGGGAACATGAAGGCATCGATTGCGGAAAACGGAATTAAACGATTGAAGGAACGATTGGTGCGTTACATGTACGCTAACAACACCTTCAAGTATCTAAGCAGTCTTCCAGATATTGTAAAGTCCATCAACTCCTCATACATGGAATCAATTGGCATGGCTCCTTCTGAGGTGAACATATCCAATCAAGATAAAGTTTGGTATAAACTCTATTACGACTCATACACCAAACAACCTTTGGAATTTAAACCAAAATTTAAGGAAAATCAAACTGTGCGAATTTCATTGGAAAAGAGTGCTGATTATACTCCAGGCTACCTGATGTCCTGGAGTCAAGAGTTATTCATAATAACCTCAGTAAATCGGACTGAACCGCCAACCTATGGGTTGACAGATCTTAATGGTGAAATAATCAAAGGAGCCTTTTACGAATCGCAGCTGCTTGCTGCAAACGTTGAGAGGAATCAACTTTTTAGAATAGAAAAGATCTTGCGTAGGAGACGATTCAAGGGACGCAAGCAAGTGCTTGTACGTTGGCTTAATTACTCGAGTAAATTTGATAGTTGGTTAAACGAAAGCCAATTGAAAGATTTCGAATAAAAACCAATGGCAGTACAACAATGACCAATTAATAAGAAATCATCACAGCATACAATATCATCCTCTACTACTCATTCCCTCCTCCTCTCCTCATTCCCTCCCATCCTCCTTATTCCCTCCTCTCATTCTCTCCTCCTCATTCCCTCCTCACCACTCCTCCTCCTAAATCCCTCATCCTCCTCCCCATTCCCATTCCCTCCCCAACCTCATTCCCTCATGCTCTTCCCCTCCCTCATTCTCTCCTTTTCCTCATTCCCCCCTCCCCCTCCTCACTCCCTCCTCATCATCCTCATTCCCTCTTCCACCTCACTCCATTCTTTTCCCCCTCCTCTCATTCTCTCATTCTTGTTTCCTTTACTCCTCATTCCCTTCTCCTCCTCATTCCCTTCTCCTCCTCATCTACTCCTCTCCTTCTCATTCCCTTCTCTTCCTAATCTCACCTACATCAAATAATCGTGTTATGTCTCTGTACTAGGCTACTAAAAAGTAGATTCAGATATAAGTACATTAGTGATTAGTTGACATCTTCATTTAAACAAAACTCTTAAAAGACAAACACCATGTTTAGCTGTAGAGAATGTTCGAAGCAGTTTTCTCGCAAAGACAATACGATTCGTCACATGAAGATTGTACATGGCTGTAAGCTAACTAAAAACGATCATATATCTAAAGGACAGTATGGAATGGGATCTTATTCTTCGACAAATCAGGTTATGATGTCAACAGGAGATATTTCAAAGGTGCTCTACCATCCATTCACAATGATGGTGGTTGGCCCGACAGGTTCAGGGAAATCTACATATGTAAAGGAACTGATTGAGCATGCTGGTACTAGAATATCTCCAACACCACAAAGAATCATATGGTGTTACAGTCAATGGCAACCTCTATATGATGACATCAAGACAATCAGCTCAAATATTGAATTTATGATGGGGATACCAGACGAGCTGAGTAACCCAGAGTTTTTGGATGTGAATCAGAGGAACATACTGATCTTTGACGACTTAATGGGTGACATAACAAAGGATACAAGGATTACTGATTTGTACACGCGTGGATCACATCACAGAAATCTAAGTGTGATTTGCTTGATGCAGAATCTGTTTCCATGTGGAAGAGAAAGTCGCACTCTCAGTTTGAATTCCCACTACATTGTGCTGTATAAGAATCCTAGGGATCGTCAACAAGTATCTGTTTTGGCCCATCAGATGTACCCTGGAAAGTCTCACAAGTTATTGGATTCATATGAGAAGGCTACACACCAACCTTACAGCTACCTGTTAGTAGACCTCAAGCAAGAAACTCCTGAGAGTATGAGATTGTATAATCCTACCACAACTACAAATATAATGCTGCAAAAGCCATTAGCAAAACAAAATCAGGATGAATCAAATCAATCGCAACAGCGTGAAAGTAATGCAAATGTACTTCACCATGAGCTACCAGAAACACCTCAAACGCATGAAAAGGATACAAGAATGCATGATATAAAAACTGGACCTTCTCCTTGTTTGTCTCCTCATTTAATCTCTGGCGGATGTAACAATATGGTATCATGTGATAACTGTGGTTTAGTCTTTGACAGCGTACACGATTTGCAACGTCACATCAGGAATTGGTGCCAAGAGCAAGGTCAATTGCCCAAGAAAATGAAGATTGAAACCACCTCACAAATAGGACAAGATTCTTCCCGTGAAGAAGATGCTGATCTTACATTAAATGAAATATTTGTATATTTAAAAAACAAGGCTAGAAGTGATAATGAAAAAGATTATAATCATAAAGTAAAGGAGTATATGGATAGGGGAAACAATGAAAAGGAAGCTATGGAAAAGGCTGAGAAGAAACTTGTACGAAATGATAAGGAAAGATTTATGAAGCACTATAAGAAGGTCTTCAAACAAGTTTTCGGTTTAGCAGACAATGCATTACACAGAAATATTGTAGATGCAGTGAATGATATGTTGATGAGAGGTGTCTCTAGAGATCTTGCAATCAAAAAGGCACTTGTGAATAATGAACATAAGTTTAATGAGCTATTCATAGAAGATACAGATGATGATGAAAGCAATTCTGAAGCAAAATCTACTGATGATGAAGAGCAATCTTATAATAATGATGAAAGCAATTCTGATGAAGAATCTACTGATGAAGAGCAATCTTATAATAATGATGAAAGCAATTCTGATGAAGAATCTACTGATGAAGAGCAATCTTATTATAATGATGAAAGCAATTCCGAAAGTAATAGTACTGATATGATCAGCATTTAACATGTAAAGAAACTTATGACATAAATATAAGAGTAAATGTACATTATAAAACAAAGTGTTATGTCATTGTTTTGTTATTTATGTTACAAAAGAAACCTCGTGCTTCAAAAAAATGTGATCACCATCACTCTACGAAAACACAGAGATCATAATATGTGCATCATTTCTTATTCAATTCATTTCTTATCCATCTAAGATGAAAGTCTCACCTATGCATCGTTTCTTATTGAGTAGTAAAATAAACAAATTATTCTATGTTGTATCAAGGAACAACTTTTATTAATTTCCAAACTACACGATTCTCATATATGAGAGTATGTGTACAATATGTTGTAATTATATTTAAAATACAATTGTGTAGGTAGAACTTATCAAACAGATGTAAATATTATAGAACAGTTTAACTTAACGTTGTATTGATATTATATATTGCAACTAGACAACAGCAACGCCAAAGCGTAGCGAATCCCATCGAACAGCCATGGCTGCCATTTTTACAAAATCCTTCTACTACTTTTTCAGTTATAGCAAGAATCGTACATAAACACACATAAAAATGGCTACCATTTTCAAAATGCTCGCTAAGTTGCCAAAATGTCAAAAGGACAATTGCTTCTAGAAAAGCACATATAAAATTTCAACAAAATCGCACGCATGTACATGTAAATGGCAGCCATTTTGAAAAATTGCCTCCTACTAGCCGAAGTGTCATAAGATATTGTGCCATGCTTATAAGTATTCACATATCAAATATGAACAAAATCGATCCACTACTTTTCAGTTAAAGTAAAAAACGTAAAATAACACACGTAAAATGGCAGCCATTTCTCAAAATGGCCGCTTACTACCCAAAATGTCATGAGACAGTGTGCCAGGCTCATGAGTATTCACATATCAAATATGAACAAAATTGCTCTATTACTTTTCGTGTTATAGTAAAAAACTTAAAATAAAACACGTAAAAATGGTGGCCAAAAACCCAAAAACCAAAGTGTCAATAGACAGGGTGCCATGCTTATAGTATTCGCATATCAAATATGAACAAAATTGCTCCACTACTTTTCAAGTTATGGGGAAAAAACGTAAAATAACACACGTAAAAATGGCGGCCATTTTTCAAAATGGCCACCTACTACCCAAAGTATCATTAGACAGTGTAAATATATATCAAATATGAACACAATCGCTCCACTACTTTTCAAGATACAGCAAAAATCGTAAATAGCGTGTAAGGGCCGCCATTTTACAAGTTGGCTGCCGTGTGTTTCTAAAATATCTACATTTCTAGCTTTATTATGTCCTTTGTAACTTCTTTACATTTAAAACACATTGCTATTACAGTTTTATATATTGTACCTAAATTACTGTAAAATCGGCATTGAAATGGCCGCCATTTTGAAACGAGTGGCCATTTTGAAAATCGGCTTTCGAGTAGAACTTCTATCGCCATAGGGCATATTTGTACAAAATATGAACAAAATCGGGCCAACGGTATTTGAGTTATCACCCGGACGGACGGACAGACGGACGGACTGACGTATGGAAGGATGTATGGATATGGACGGACGTACGGACGGACGGACGGACGGACGGACGGACGGACGAACGGACGGACGGACGGACGGACGGAGGCGTTCCCTATATCCCTCCGAACTTCGTTCGATGGGATAATAATTGAATCATTTATTAAAAATTGAATACAAAATAACAATAGACAGAGAAATGTTTTGTGTGATTTCCCATTGATGTAATTATGTTGTCTGCAATGAATGCTTTAGCTAGTACAACACAATTTAAAGATAAAAAGTGTATCTAATTGTCAAGCAGGTTATCACATGGAGAGAGATATTGGCACACGTTACAAGCCCACATACCCTCCTGGTTCATATGATCACCATGTAACGTGGCTATACAATTCATGTCCTCTATAGCTAAGGGAGGAATAAGACTGTGTATGTTTTTCAATACATCCTCCATCTCCTCGAAATTGAGGTACACTGACCAAAGTTGGGTAAATTTTTGTTTTACCCGGTCGTGGTAAGTCGATGTTACTTCGAAAAGGTTTATATCAGAATGCACTTTGAACTCGTATCCCAGTCCTAGGTGATGCGGTGCATTCAAAGGTGTAGCCAGTGCCTGGTTTGGAACGGCCAAATCATCTTGAATGGCACGCATATACTCCCGAATTCCTCTTTCTGTGCAGCAGGTGATCATGTAGTCAAACTCCTGTCGAGGTAGTCGTGCAAACTTCGAGCTGTAAGGCATACAGCCTACCCGCTTCACCTTGTTCACAACGATAAGTTTAAGTTTAAATGTTCGAATTACAACGTGATCTCCCTGCGTGTATATGAATATTTCCTGCAAGCAGGACCCGTTCGAAATCTTGAGCATTTGTGGCCATTCAGGTTGAATCGGATTGACGATACATCCAGATGGACGCGCTGCATCTTCCAAAGTCAGATGAAAGTGTACTACACCATCTAGTGTCATTGGATGAGGGGGTATACCAAGCTTCAAGTCTCTCCGACAGCTAGGTTGAGCAGGTATACCTAGCGTCAACTCTCTCTGAAAGCTAACCATGCGTTTCTTGAATGGTGGTGGTGGTGTTGATCTTATGTTTTTTTGTGTCGCTATTCGGCGTTAGTTCGGGAGAGGCGCTCACCGAATTAACATCCTCAATGATGATGCATTTTGTCGTTGCATTCCACACTGTTTCAATTATTGCTGGAGATGACATTTTGTACTGCAATTGTTGAACATTACAAATTAGTAAAGTTCAGAGTCTATATATGAGACTTATCAAGATGTGATGCAACATGTGTTGTCATCCCGCAGATGGATGGTTTCTTCATATCTTATCAAAGTGTGATAATGTTAGCTCACCAACCCTCAGTAGTTATCATATTTTAGGAATCGCAAAGCAACTCAATGTCATTACAGTTAAGAATTTTCCCAACCAGCCAAAAGTTAAGTTCCACAAAGTTATCTCGAAGTCTAAAGCTTTGAAAAGCTCAGTTTTAAGGTGGCACAAAGGTGTTTCACAAAGTATTTCATGAACACAAGCTGAATGTTCATGGATGCATAGTGCATCTCAATGAAGCAACAACTTGAGGTCTTGCAAGGATGATTATGTAATGATTGATAATGTACTTACCCTTCCAATGTATTATCGTATTTGATATAATACAAAGATATCTTGAAAGTACCTAAATTTTAAGATATCACCGAAAAGTCTCTCAAACCAACTCAGTTTTTAAGGTTTCATTTCAATAATTGTATGAGTTCTTAATATGTCGTCGCAGTTTTAAGATTCCCTGACTTATCCCTGCTTTAAGGTTTCACAAAGGTATCTCAGAGATATCTCAATGTTAAGACTCTCTACAAAGCATTTCAATTAAATAAGGATACCGTTATGCGTCTCAAATTGAAGCTACCACAAACCTCAGGTTATCACTATGGTTACTACAAAAGCAAGCATCTCATCATTAGTAAAAATGTTATTAACCCCTGGCATCTCATTCCTGGTATCTCACTTTAGGCACCGCATCATTAGTAAAAATGTTATTAACCCCTGGCATCTCATTCCTGGTATCTCACTTTAGGCACCGCAAAGTAGTCTCAGTATCTCATTCCTGGCATCGCATTTTTAGACACCGCAAAGTAATCCCGTGCCTCCTTAACATACACTACTGAGATCCAAGAGAGATCCAGTAAAATGAAGATGGTACTTTTGTTGGGGCTGTTTGGCATCCTTGGTAATATGGGACAGGAACGAACGAAGACAAAGATCTCGTCATTTTTTTGACTTCATTGTAGAGAGGTAATTTCAACTATTCAATCATCCCCTCCCCTCGCCTTCCCCAATCTACAATAGTACCGGAATTTCTCGTATATAAGCCCTGGGCGTATAACTGAAAGAAGGGGTAATTTAGTCCGTTATTTTATCATTTTTTATATGCCCATGGGCGTTTAAATGAGACTTTCATTTCAGCGCCAAATGGGCATATATGTGTTTGAACATTATGTAGATGTTTCTGATTCACAGTGAACAGAAGCCCCCTTGCCCCTACATGTATATGAGACCCTATCCCTATTTCACCCATAATCAGATAATGTACAGCCAGACATCAAATAATCTCAAAATCGTTAAATAAGTCTGGGGGAGTTTAGCATTGCTGAACTATGTACAGGATATAGGGTAGCTTTTCTCAAAATCTGTGGTTATATAATCTTTGTACAGTAGGCCCATAGGGTAACTGGAGGGTTGGATCTTTGAGAAATTATTTATCCTAACTTAAGCTTAGGCTTACTTTCATTTCCTGCGAGATCAGGTCATACTCAATCGCATTTTTTAACGTGCCGTTCATCATGGCCTGGATCTTTTTGTCAGCCCAAATCGAAAGCATACGCTCAGTATTGACGTGGTCCCAATAAATTCTACTTTGTTTCGACATTTTGGTGATTTGATTGAGTTTTGCACAATATTTGAATTTTGTTTTTTGAAGTTTCCTCCACACTGGAAATCAATAACATGCTTGATGCTCATGCGCAAATATAGTTTTCGTTCAGTGTAAAATCGAGTTAAAGCGCCTTGAAAACCAATCGGTATTACACCTACACGTTAAACCGCCTTTGGGTGTGAAAGCGGTTTTTAATGACTAGGGGTCTGGGAGGATTACAAAAGCGCTTTTCTAAATCCGCGATCTTGATTACACCTGACTCTAAAGGCGGGTCGAAACCCGATAGGATTTTAAAAAGAGCTTTTACATCGTAGGTGTAATTCCACCTTCTGTCTCACCAATACAAAAAAGTCTTGCCTCTGTACATCCTAATTATCTCTCTTACCTGGCTTAGTTAGAGAATAATCAGGAGTAAAGGGTGCAGCATGCAAGATATACACAAAGTATCACCAAACTAAGATCTGAATGTAGTTTGTTGTAATAATACATACCACTGGTACTGCGTAATGCTACATTATTCAGACTATTACAACATTGCATATTTTTCTGTTATCTGTTTTCCCCAAAGTGATATTTTACATCACCAGATTAAACAACTTGTTACATAGCAAGGAAAAGCAAATAGTTATTTCCAGATTACAGACACATACAAAGTAATAGAAACAGTAATTGTCAACTACATGGATATGAATTCAATATTTAGTAGATTTGATACCCATTCTGATATTCAGCAATTTGTCCTTGTAGAAAGGAGACTAGGCAATCTGACAAACTTTAGCATCTTCCCTTTCTAAATTAACTATGGGAGAAGATGGAGGCAGGGTGCAAGGTCTTCATTCAAGACAACCAAGTATATCTGAGTGTACTCTAAAATAATACATTAATGAAAAGGAAATGTATACCCAAATAGGAGTCATTTGACAAGACTGAGATCTGACCTCCTACTATATTAGGTTACAGTAAATTCTAGTCAACTTAATTTGATTTTATGTTTGATTCCTTTACACAGATATCATAAAGACACAATTAATGCTCTGAATACATCTACATTGTACTTGAGTGAAGAAAAATGACACTGACTTGTAATATAAATCAATACAAATGGTTACAAAAGCATAGAAATTGTTATTATACTGAACACAAACTTGCAAAAAAGAAGAGCACAGCAATAGACGTGACATTCAAAAGTATGACATGTCAAATTTGGGACTATCATCCAATGTTAAAATAATCCAATACCCTAACCCTCTCCTTTTGACCTGATTCGACTCGAGTCAATTTATAATAATGATGACACGTAGGGTGGAGGCATAAACAACAAACCTATTCACCAAATATAAAACTGCAAAATCATTATGTCTCAGATGAATTACTAAGAACAGTTCTAAGGAGAAAAACTCAAATAAACTAATAATACTATAAAATATGAGAGTTCAACAGATGTTATACAACCAAGGGTTTACTGTATAAGTGGTAATTTTGCCTAATCATTTAATTTGCCTATTTCCTAATTTTTGCCAGGTTCGGAAAATTTAATGTCGGAAATATTGTCTTTATAATGTTATCCAATGGGAGGTTTCTTGTCATTAGGAAAATTAAAATTAGGAAAATGATGAAATTTGACCATTCGGAAAATTAACCACTCGGATTAAATACCACTTATACAGTATCTTAAGTTTTCAAATATAGTTTCATAAACTGTTTCATTAACACTCACCAACCTCTGTTACTGAAACATATTCTATATTACAATATGAAATCACGTGAATTGCCACAAATCAAATTTTGCCCCTATCTATTTATTGGTTGGAAAGAACCATTGAAACAAGCCTAACCAGATAAAAATAGAATATGTAGAAAATCTGATATGAATGATCAATGCAAAATGTGACATTCAATGAGGAACATAGTTTAGTTTAGTTTAGTTTAAAATAGTTTATTTTTGTGTCACTGATATTACAATATACATATAAAATACATAATAAAAACAACATTTTGTAACATCACCAGCCGGTGCCGACTTATGAGACACAGTATACATTAGATCTGAGTGTCACCCATTACTACCCCCAATGGGCAGCTTGGGTCAACATTCATAAAGACAGAGACAAAAAAATGTCCCTGGTAAAAATTTATACATTAATAACCAATGATATAAATTCAGTCTGGTTAATCAGTTTGGCATAAATAAGCAGTTCATGGAATGATATTGTCAATCATTATATTAAATACATATATTGCACCTAATGTGATATGAATATTGCATAATAAATACATATATTGCACTAAATGAGAGTAGCATGTTGCATATTGTCAAAAATTACAATAAATACAAATATCGCACTAAATGTGACATGTATCATGCATATGGTCGAAGACTGATATTACAATAAATTCATATATTGCACTTAATGTAAGTAGCATGTTACATAGTCAAATCAAAAGCTAATAATTATGCGTCAGGGAAAGCAATGCAGTAAATCTCAAAGTGCCACATAAATGTCATTTCATTTTTCAAATGAGTTGACACTCTTGACCCAGAGTCATTTCAATAGGCAAAGCAGATGAAATAAAAAGACTAACTATAATGTACTCAATAACTGTAATGCACATGTATTTATGAACTCGTAAATGACTCAAATCCAAAGACATGTATGTAATGCCACCTGAATAAATTTTCAAAACTTCAATTAGAATTCTAATTTCCTATGCCATGTTCAATCAATCTTAATCAGACAGTTTTAAAATATAGTGATGTAATTCCATTGACACTGTACCAACTGGGGTTACTGATGAACAAACATATTGGCCCAGAAGTATTACAAATGCTCCAGTTTCATTTGTAGGAGGCAGGTCAGAAAGACTAGTAAAGTAAATCAATATAGGGAGGAATTTAGAATTTATACTATACTTTTGATAGTTTTATACTGCGTTTTTGAATTACCCGTGGCAGTGGTGCATTGCTTAATAGGTAATAATGAGATTTCCCCCCAGTAGTGATCTGCGGTATTGCCGGAAGTACCATTACGGTGGCATTCTGGCCTAATGTCGGCACTGAAATTCCAATACCGGAATTTTTTCAATTTGAGGAATGACTATGTTAAATAGCTGGCTGTAGATGTCTTAATTCAATGCAGAAGTTATCGATAATCAGGTAAGACATTGATAAATCATGACTATAAACCGAAATATGACCGAAAACTTCTAAAATCTAAACTCAGTCACAGAAATGTAAATGTAGACCCAAAACCGCAGTATTCGGTAACGGTAAGGTATTGAATTGCAGTAATACCGG